CCTCAAACATTTTGGACAATTTGCTGTGCGAGCTAAATATGATCCTTGATTCATGCAAAAGGAATGAATTGCCTACGTTGTGACAGATAGGCCTATGCTACTGTAGGGGAAGGGTTTTTAAACATTTGATGACGTAACCGTTTTCGTTATCGTTTTTGTTAGCTTTGCGAAAACTCCATTCTCGAGTGGCAGACTGAGTCGATAGCTGTATTTGCTTGCTTTATGCGTTCTCGTTTTCTTGCAGCTTTTTTATGCATATTACATTCTGCATGCACCACACCACGTTTACATGCATGTGAATCGGAGTAGGGGCCTACTGGTCCGGAAACATTTGTCTAGAAGCAATGTCTCCGGAACACCGCCGTCTGCGGTGAGTGCGCGGAATCAAGGTCGAGTTCCGAATGTTGCAGCCATTATTGCTTATGTATAAGTATACACTTTTTTATGTATATATAAGAACATTTTATAAGAACACTGAGGCTGAAAATTGCTTAAAAATTAAAAAGAAAATAAGAACAAATTGTAGCGGAGGTAAGATTTCAAATGAGGTTTTTTATTTAAGAAAACAGAAAAACCAACAAATCTTAGTAACTTAAATGTGCAGTAACGCTCATGCAATATAGCAATGGTACTGTTGTACAATAATACGTTTCTATGTTTGAAAATGTGTAAAAAAAAGAACAAAATGAGAATACTTTGAACCTAAAAATGGCCAAAAAGTAGGAATACTGAGCCTGGGATAAATATTACTGTTTCTTATATTTAAAAATTGTAGCCGGATGTCCTGAAAATAGCCCATATCTCGACTGGGACTCTAATATGCAACGCCTGGGGAAAGGGGTTGGGGTATTGGTTAAACACCGAAGTTTTAGTATACATTTTCGTAGCCAAAGATTGTAATATATGTTGGTGGAGTTTCGAAATATTAAAATTTATTATGACTTCACCATATTTAATAATGAGATTTTATAGTGGATCATGTGATAACGCACACGCGGTTTCGATTCACTAAGCGTTTCCACCGTTTTGAGCTACACCATTATGAATGCTTGTCACGTCTTGTAGCAAGCAACCACTTTGCCTTCCCAATTTCTTCCGTGTATGACTGTCTTACCGACCCGACATTAATACGCCTATACCCAACTAAGTACACGATACTACAATTATACAGTACTTCATTAGGCACTGCCACACCAAAATGTGTAAATAATAAATACAAACTTTCACATTAAGGTTAATCATTGTAGGCCCATAAAGAAAAGTATTGGGCTTATAATACATTGTGTAGGTGATGCCCGTGTGTAGGTAAGCCAACTTCCTGGCACCTTATTCATATCACCTGCATTCACAACTGAGCCAACTCCAATAAACACAATATTGCTTGTCACTGTCACCTGTCCATGACAATTGCATAGTTTTATAATTTGATTAGTGCCATAATCTCATGTGATGCAATATTGTCGCCGATTTTCTTTTCTCCTATATAGCTTCACCTGTTCATTATTGTAACATCTAGGCCTGTCTCTTATACACATCTATCCCCAACAGTGATCGTACTCCACTAATAGTTACACTCTGGATGATTTATAATTTTCATTCTGGTATTTAGGTTGGGTTGCATGTTTTATTAGGGAGATTTTGCAACCTTACGAATAATAAAAACGATAACGAATACGAATACTTCATTATCATTAACGTCATTCGTGCCTCAAACATTTTGGACAATTTGCTGTGCGAGCTAAATATGATCCTTGATTCATGCAAAAGGAATGAATTGCCTACGTTGTGACAGATAGGCCTATGCTACTGTAGGGGAAGGGTTTTTAAACATTTGATGACGTAACCGTTTTCGTTATCGTTTTTGTTAGCTTTGCGAAAACTCCATTCTCGAGTGGCAGACTGAGTCGATAGCTGTATTTGCTTGCTTTATGCGTTCTCGTTTTCTTGCAGCTTTTTTATGCATATTACATTCTGCATGCACCACACCACGTTTACATGCATGTGAATCGGAGTAGGGGCCTACTGGTCCGGAAACATTTGTCTAGAAGCAATGTCTCCGGAACACCGCCGTCTGCGGTGAGTGCGCGGAATCAAGGTCGAGTTCCGAATGTTGCAGCCATTATTGCTTATGTATAAGTATACACTTTTTTATGTATATATAAGAACATTTTATAAGAACACTGAGGCTGAAAATTGCTTAAAAATTAAAAAGAAAATAAGAACAAATTGTAGCGGAGGTAAGATTTCAAATGAGGTTTTTTATTTAAGAAAACAGAAAAACCAACAAATCTTAGTAACTTAAATGTGCAGTAAC